TAATTTAATTTTTAAGGTAGCTAAGTATAAATAAATTCTGTGCATGGGCAGAGCATCCGTGGTGACGTCTGGGTGGATGGGAAGAGCCTCCCACCACCGCTGCTACTGGTTCGCCCTGCTACAAAAGCCGGGCGAACTGGCAGAAGACCAAGCCTGTGCTGCATAGACTATCATGCAATATAGTATATTTAGTAAATATGCCTAGATTAATAGTCTTTCATCTCCAGCTAAAGAATATGCTGTGTCTGTTAATTTGCTGCAATCTGAATTCTGTTTTATTGTATGTAAATGGGTGCAAATCTGAAAATCTGTTTTATGAAANGGGCGATATGCTGACTCTGTAAACCGCTTAGAGAGGGCTGAAAGCCCTATGAAGCGGTATATAAGTCTAACTGCTATTGCTATTGCTATTATGAAACTTAGTAGCCTCTTAGCCAAAGGAAATAATCAAGACTTATATGTCCAAAGGTTACACAATCTTTGGGTTTTAAAAAATCCAATCTAATGCTTCACTCCAGCACAAACAATTGTTTAGAAATCTGACTTTCGGGTCCCAAGGTTCCTGAAACACTGTTGTTCCAATATCAGAAGCACTTTCTCCTTGTTTAGAAAGTAATTTTATCATTTGTACTTGATGCTCTATGCAATGTTTTCAAGTTGTTTATGATTAGAAGAAGCTCCACAACAATGTTGCCAGTTCATGCAGAACTAATTAAAGACATTACCTTGAGACTTCCTGTAAGTGCCATGATGTGCTACACCTTGCTGAGTTTCAATGGCTAGCAAGATAGCATTTGTGAGGGTAATCAGAGCACACTGGATAGGAGCCAGCATAAAATGCCTGCGACAAAGAGATTGTTGAGATAATCCACATGATTCCAGCCGTCTCTCCTCATGACTAGACCACAAAAACAGCCATTTTTATGATTAATTTGTCAGTGGAGGGACTGAGAGTCTGGACTAGATCAAAACCACACTTGCAAAGCAGCCTTTAAAGACATAACGCTGTAAAATTTGACTGAATAAAAACTTTTTGGATCATTTTGATGAGTGTTTGTCACTTAGACAAATTATTTACACTGAATTAGGCATTATTACCCACCGATTCTCCCCAAGGATATTTTCTTGTTTGAGGGTGTTAAAGGTATAATCACATGATATAATATGTTCCAAATATATTTGGGAGAGATAAATATCTTTTTCTTCCAGTAGTCCTGCAACTATTGAACTCCAATACCCAAATCAGTCCTTGATGAATGGATGGTGATTGATGTTATTTGTGGGTTTCTATAAATTAGGAGTCACCATATTTTGGGATAGACACTCTTCAGATTTTCTATCCAGGGCTTTCCATTCTGCTTGAATTCAATCCACCATTTCAACTGTGTATCGAGTGCCTGGAATTGCCCAGATGTTAATTGTCTTGATGGCATTTCGTCCACTGAGATTGGACTTTAAGATCATCTTTGCTCTCTTGATGTATTCACTTATAAACTTGTTCTTGACTTCAATGTGTTTGATGTCAGCTTGAAGGATGCCCATATATTTATAGTGATCATCTTCTTCGAAACACGTGATGTCATTTCCATGGGGCATGTTGATTTCTATCCATTTTCAATATTTTTCCCCAGTGTTTGATAAGCATGGTGTATTTTTCCCCAGTCCAAACTCTATTGCAATGACTTAGCTGTATATATGTATAACATTGATTCTATTTCAGATGGCATTTTTCCATACAGCTTTCAGATCATCCCTGTAAAGAAGTGGGATAGCCTGGCAGATGTTTTTGATGTTTGACAGGCATGGCTTGACTTGTTTAGTATTATTGCCAGATGATTCAATGCAGTGACAAACAATAGTTGTGAAAATGAGTCTCTTTGAAACATGCCTCTGTTGACATGAATGTCTCCCATTCAATCACCTCATTGCAGTCTGTTGTTAAACTGCTTGGCAATGAGTGGGTGTAAACTAGTCAAATGTTTCAGCAAATTATTTTGCATATTAGAGCGATTAAGACCTTTCAGACTATCAAGGTTTCATTGTATTCATCTGTTGGGTTTCCGCCTCCTTAAAAAACAATGCCGTAAGTTTGATTTTAAAAGTTTTTAAAATGCATGATTTTTTTGGAGTATGCAGCATAAGAGTACTTGATGTATGGATTTCGGAAAATGAATAATGGTTAAGAGCCAGAGAGAATTAGAATTATAGTTTTAATAAAAAATCACTTATTTGTGCTAAATGGTTTTGAATAATTTTGAATTATTTAGGAAATATTTTCTCATGAAAAATTGAGATTCTTTTTTAAATGATAAGGAGATCTTGAAAGCTGGGACCCTAGAAGAGCTAGAAGATAAAGAAAACTAACATGGAATCCGTAGTGCAAACTTTTGAATACCTTTCACCTATGTTTTGGGATGGAATGGATCAAAGGCTTGATAAAATTGACAGAGCTTGTTCTAATAAAGTTGTAAAACAAGAATGAGCTGCGATATCTATGAAATTAATTTGAAGGGAAATTTAAGTATAATACAAATGAATCCGTTGAATGACTCATTCACTAAAGAAGCTAAAACAGATACTAAACGAGGAAACTTATCTGGATACTCCCCCCCCCACCTTTCTGGGTAGATAAAAGTACTACACTAAGACGTTTTAGCAGGGACTAAAGGGTAAATTTACCTAGTGATACAAAATAAATTGTTGATTATCTCGTCTAACGTTCCAAAGCTTCATCCTCCCACCAAGAGAGTCAAGCTGAGAAATGGAGAAAATGGCTATGACAGGCTGAAACCGTTTTGAAGTTGACAAGCACTTTATTACTGTATTTCATCCTTCCTTCCTTACTGTATTCCTTCCTTCCTTCCTTCCTTCCTTCCTTCCTTCCTTCCTTCCTTCCTTTTTCCTTTCTTCTTTCCTTCCTTCCTCCCCTTCCCTCCCCCCTTCCCTTCCTCCCCTCTCTTCTTTTTCTGTTGATATATTTTGTAATGTCTATGGACTCTTAATAAAAGTATTTGAAAATGATATAAAATAATAGCAAATAGCTTAAACATAGAAACATACTTTTGATATCATAACTTGATATGGTGATACTTAAAGTGGCATAGTAGCTAACAACTCACCATTGATCTCAGCAGATTTGTTACATGATCGGATTTTCTACAAAGCTAAACTGAAACTTCAGTGTTTTTGAAGAATATTTCAGGAAGATACATGGGTTCCAATAACAAGGCACATCAAATAACCTCTTCCAAGAGCACAGTGTTGAATTGGCTCTATGCTAAAATCCCACAAGCTTTCTATTAGGTAGGACAAAATAGATCAGTGCAGCACAAGGAAAGATTTTGCAGCAGCTCCAAGGTTGGCCTATGCGACCTCCATTGTTGCAAGAAAGGAGCCCTTTGAGTCTTGAATATCAGAAGGCCATCTTAGTTCAATTCCTGACATTGTTACTACTCCTATGGCTCTGGCAGCAAATACCGAAGATTAGCAGGAGATTTCCAAAGATTGATCTTTTTCTCTGCTCAGAAATCATAGCCTCTGTCTTGAATCCATCTCACGTAGACTCTTAGAGTAATTTAATTTGTCACTGAAATTGTAAGAGTTGTCTAATTAAAATTAATTAGAAAAAAAATAAATAAAATATTTGAGTATTTGGGTACTTGCACTTTTTTATATTAAAATATTCATTTCAGCATTATTTTATGCTTGTAAATTTAGAGCTAGGAATAGTTGGTGCAAATAATGGTACTTTGGTTATGGCCTTCTAGGTCACTACTGAAGGCAAGGGGGGAAATATTTCTAGAAATATCTCACATGTGCCAGAGATAATCAATGAGAATGCAATTGGACATTCTCCTTTACCTGTGTGCCAGGTTTCCAGGTTGACTGGCTGGTTGAACAGACTGATGTATAGGGAGTTTCACTTTTTTTCTGATTTTTGGAAAGAGTGTGAAATGTACAACTTGCCCATCTGAAGTGTTATGGTACAAGCTTACCACTTGATTCTGGTGATATTTTCACCTTCACTAAGGCAAAAGTGCACGTTCAATTTTTAGTTCTTTATCCTGGACTTTCAAGATGCAGGCAATACAAAGATCCTTATTCAAAGGCTGTAACATCAAAGCGATGTCAAAAATAGGGGAAATATAGAGTGGTTTAACATATAGATAGACCACAAAGTTTACTACATATAAACTGGCCATGTTACCATTGTAGAACTGTTTACAGCAGATGGTCCCGTCCACAGCAATTGCCGAGCAAGTAGGGAGCAAAAGTGTTCAGTTAAATACAAACATGTAAAATTGCTTTCTGATTATTTAGAAGAGGATATTGAGGGTCTATGAAAAGAAAATACTCATGTTCTTATTATCCTAATAACTAAATTTGGTATTATTTTTTTAATATTCTAGGACAACTTTGGGGAATCATATAATACAATACAATACAATNCTTTTAAAGTGCAGCTCCCCATAGAGGAAAGTTAAATAACCTTGCTTTACTGCAGACACAATTTATTCCTTGGCATAAATATTGAATGACTTAAACGATCTCCTCTTCTAGATTTTAGGAAGATTTCAGTCTGTGTCAATATTGGCAGACTGTTGTTTAAAAGGGGACGGGGGATATTTGAAAGATGCGCAGAGGAGAATTATAATTATAATCGGAATATCAGAAAAAGTGGGAGGAGAGGAATGGTGTTAGTACTCCTGAGTAAAATAGCTACTCCACTGTGATACATTCTCACCTGTTAGAATAAGCCAGAACAAAAAAGTTGGGTCTAGGTAATTTATGCCTTTTCATTTAGGTTGGCTTTGCATATCATCCTATTAGAATATGATTTATATGAACCACAGCAGATGTTTTCTCAGTCCTTTCTTGAATGTATATAGGATCCTCCGAAGGTTGAAAAAACGTAGCATCCATGCACAAATGATGTGGAGTGGGGGTTACATCAAGATAAATAAACTTAAAACTCATCTAAACCTTTATCTAATTTACAGGTTATTTCAAAGAGGAATACAACGACATTTGCAGAAGATTCTTCTGGTTAAAGGAAAAACATACCAAGTTCAGCAGACTTCTCTGCGGAAGGCCCAAAGAATGAAAACTTGCAATTGCTTGTCATTTCTAATGTGGACTTGTATTTTTTACGAGATTCCTACTTTACTATCACCGAAGAGGACTAGCGTCTATTTGCAAGCCAAAAGGATAATGGGGCTGGCTAAGGATCAGGGGAAAGCCATGCATCGAACAAAGCGTGGATGGATGTGGAATCAGTTTTTTTTATTGGAGGAATATACTGGTCCAGATACTCAATATGTGGGCAAGGTAAGAACAAGCAATCAAAAGACCATTTAGAAACATGATAGAATGGATCAAGGCCCAGGAAGAGCCGGGGGGTGGCGGAAATTTCTCCTTAATATGGAATGTAGACTTTAGCAGGGGAGAAATGAGATTTCACACCTAATACTTTTGTGAATTAGTCCTGTTTTAGCACCGAATGGTCCTCTAATGCTAGGTTTTGGAGGGTTCTACAGGGGGAATCCTAGGTAGNATTTAAATGGTTCTCCACTAGGACTCCAAGATCCCTTTCACAGTTACTATTGTTGAGCCAGGTACCACCTATCCTGTACCTGTGCATTTCGTTTTCCTTGCCTAAATGTATAACCTTACTCTTTTCACCATTGAATTTCATTTTGTTAGATAGTGCCCAATGTTCAAGTTTGTCAAGATCATCACAGATGACAATGCTTGCTAGGGTCATATTAATTCTTCCATCGAGATTTTTAACAGGGTGGTATTGAGGATAGTAAGATATCATGTCACCTACAGTCCTTCATTAGAGTAGATATAGTAAATTCCTGAAACTGTTCATCATATGTTTTAGCCCCCTAATCATTTTAGTTGTTCTTCTTTGTACTCTTAATCTCTTGGCTCTGTAATCTCCCAGTAGGCTAGGCAGTCACATCACCATCAAAGCTAACAGTCATTGATCCATTGGTCCAAACCTTTCCAGGAGTTAGCCAAGAGGTAACTAGCACCATATCTTACGCTAATGAATTCCAAAGTTTAATTGTGTCTTGACCTCTACTTGCTTTGCTTACATTATGGAAACCATATTTAGGTATTCAAGAACATGATATGCACCAGGTCAATTACTAGGATTTTTGCTCATAAACTCCCTTCTAATCCAAGTGCTTATAAAGCCTGTTTTTGAATTCCTTTAATAGGGAACAACTCTAGATTGTTTTGCTCTGTGATCCTGTATTCCTTTTTACTGGGTTGGTCGAGACATTTGAATACCAGTTTATTATTTCATAACTGGTATAAAATAGTTTTATGTTGACAGAGAAGAACAAGCAAGGACCTTTTCTATGTATACAAACTGATGGGGTGGCACAGCTGTTTCATAGTAAATAGATTATGGGGGAAAAAAATTCCTCCTCTTCCTCTTCCTGGACCATGTATTTATTTATTATTTATCTCTCAATCAAATTGTATGTCACTCAAATCATTGAAGCAATTTTAGATTATTTTATTTGAATTAGTTCTCTGAATGAATCCTCTGACTGACCTAGGCAATACATAAATTGTTCTACTATTTACATAGTTTAATTCAAGTCATATATTACAATAACCTTATGATTAAGACTTAAATAGGTATAAGCATCAGAGTTTCTAAACATGTTTGGTATGAACTGAATGTAGCATGACAAAGAGCTTTTTCTTCGTAGTGCTAAAGCTGACAGATGCAATAGGGAGATAAGTAAACAATGCACCACAGTGTAATCCTGCAGAATGGAATTTGATCCCCAGATAAAGAAAAATAGAAATGCTCCAACTCAACCTATGGCTTCTATTGCCCATTTAATTTCAAGAGATCCAAATTGCATTAAGAATTAAGGGTGCTGTGAATACAGCATTCAATTTAAAAAAGTAAAGGAAATGAAGAGTGTGGAAAACAAGGAAAGGAAAGGAGAGAAAAAATCTGGTACCAATGGCAATGATTTTCAGATAAGGCCCTTTAAAATGGATCCTATAAAGTAAAACTGTTAAATGACTATGTATGTATGTATGTATGTATGTATGTATGTATGTATGTATGTATGTATGTATCCAATTTGAATAAAAATTGAATGATAATGAGGCACTGTATTGCTTGTTATACAATAATGAACAAACATATGTTTTAGAAAAGAATCCTCCTCCTCCTCCTCCTCCTCCTCCTCCTCCTCCTCCTCCTCCTCCTCCTCTTCTTCTTCTTCTTCTTCTTCTTCTTCTTCTTCTTCTCCTCCTCTTCCTCTTTACTGCTTCATGCGTCAAGGTAGATACAAAGTTCTGGCTTTTGCTCTTCTGGCTGCGTTAATTGATGTTGTAGTGTGTCTTTGGTGTTGTCTCTCCATCTTCTGGGTCTCTCTCATGTTCTTTGACTTTCTTCTCTTTATATATATGCCTTGTATGTTATAGAATTACAAACATAATTTGCAAAAGAATGCTAGCTAATAATGCTTATATTAGTAAGGCTAACACATATCTAATAACTTGCAGAAACTGATTAGCAGGAACTATTTACCCAAAGGAGACATGACCACTTGAGAAGGAAAAATAATAATATTAGTTTAGTGAAAACTCTCAATACTTGCTATTGACTCTGGGAGTTCACAGTGATTTCTACTTTTCCCTTTTTCTTCTCCTTATTTTCCTTCCCTCCCCATTTAAGATATTACAATAACTATTTTTCCAAGTTCATTATTTCATTCAGCCAGTCTTATTAGATCTTGTTCTCACTCAGAATAATACTTTTGCAAAGGTGAAAAAGACTCTGTTAATGTTTCCCGTTAAAACAGCTAACAACTTCAATATACAATATTTTAACCGGCTTATAGAAGGAAGAAAAGTCTTAGTAATCAAGTAAATAGCAAAAAGCCATATGTGCTAAAAGTCAGATAAATGGTGAGAATGTTAAAGTACAGGCATACCTTAAATATATTTCAAGTTTGGTTCCAGACCACGGCAATAAGTGAGTATTGCAGTAAAGCAAATCACAGGATTTGTTAGGTCTCTCAGTCCATATAGAAGTTATGTTTATACTATAATGTAATCTATTGAGGGTGCAATAACATTCAGTCTTAAAAACCAATATACATATCTTAATTAAAAAACAAATACTTTAGTGCTAAAAATGCCTTCAGCAAGTCACAATCTTTTTGCTCACGGAGAGTCTTGTAAAAAAAAATACAATATCTGCAAAGTGCAATAATGTGAAGCACAATAAAAGGAGGTATGATTATATATGGAAGCATAAAATGAACCAATTATTTTAAACAAGAATTATCATGTCTTTTCCTTCTCGTTTGTACAGTTTCTTTTTTTTTTGTTAGTTTGTTTTTCTTTACATTTGTATTGTTTATCACAAATGAAGGTGATTATATATGTCCCAGGATAATGTTGCAAGATCCAATCTGGGTGGATCATAGGGAGTTTTAATCTTCTGAGCTTCCAGACTCCTGCTGGTGCCCGTCTTCAAGAGTGGGCTTCAAAAGCTTGGCACACTAAACCTCTGGTCACGGTGATCAACCCAAATTGAATCCTTGTATTGTTTTTATTTCCTAAAACACTTCTTTCATATAAAAAAAATACATGAAAAAAATACAAACAGTTTCTGTTTCAGCCCTAGGCTACTGCACTCTGTTTAGCTTTATAGAAATAATGTAAGCATTTTAAGTTTTGGTTTACAATATTCATTTTGCTGTATAACAACTAATTTAAAATGTGTCACCCATTTTCATGTTTTACTTGAATAGATTGATACGTAAAAAAAAGGAGGCCAGTTGTTTTACACAAACTTGCTTTGTAGCGTTCTTGATAAAGAATTTTATACAAAACTTACCAGACATTTATATAATCAAATATTTTCATCAGCAATTGAGATTGATGCATTCATCCAAACTGAGTGATGTTCAGAAGGTGTAGACTGTAGAAGAAGGTGTAGGTATTTGTTTAAAGTCTAGAATAAAAATTGCATCAGCAACACCAAGCAAGGTTTAAATGCCCATCGAGGCCAACTTCCATTGTAGAAACCTTGTATGCAATCTTAGAAACAGGCCTG